AGGCTGCCTTTTTGAGCACAGTCACCTGTAGAGGAGTATGCTGTTTTGCATTATAGCAGTTTCACAGATAAGTAGCTCCACTGATTTCACTAATTATATTGGCGCAGAAATGGGTAAAGCTTTATCTGGAAAAATGGATCAACACTATTTAGTATCCCACGGAGCAAGAATGAAAGATCTATAGAATCAAACAATAATAAAATTTCTTCGTTTCCAAGAGTTTCTTTGCTTCTTTGAAGGTGGTGTGAGTGACTGGAAGAATCTTTTCACTGAAGAACAGAATGAGAAAATGGACAAAGCATTTGAAGAACTTGTTGGAGGAACTAAACTGGCAACAAAGTTAAAGTACGAAGTTTACTGTAAAGCCTGAAAAGTAATGAAATGTGGTTAAAGCAAGAGCATTCCAAGGCACACTCAGATCATCTTGATGCTGTATGCTAGAAAACTAGATCAAATGATCCAAGCATCTTAGAATTACTGTAACAATCACATTGCAGCAGCCTTTTCAGTGGCAATGATGAATAGTAGGCTTTTGTTTTATGGTGAGGTCTTTGGCTACACCCATTTGCTGAAGAAGATGTCAACTAAGCATATTTACAAAACTCAACAACCCTGTTCCAGTAGCTGTCATAAGAACCCAGAAAGGTACCGGATACCTGGAGGAATGCATATGTAATATCTGTGTTTAAAAACTTCAGCAAGCAGAATCAAAAAAGAACAGTCACCTTAACTTGATACCTGGAAATGTACTAGCAAAAATGGCCAACAACCAACCATGAAACATTTGGAGGATAACAAGGTAGTAAAAAATCATGTCAAAGCTGTTCATGTTCCATATTTGAAAGATAACTTACCTCTTGAATAAGCCACAGACAGAAGATACAACACAGAATCAGAGAGGATCTGAAATTATATGACAGAGGAGACACAATGTAGATCCACAAATTTATGGCTTCATATGTGGAGATTGCAATGTACAAATGTACTTATAGAAATGAAATAAAAGTACTGAAAGTAGATTTTTGCTCCTAGAAATTCATAAAATTGCAACAAAAGGTATTCAGAAGCAGGGTCATCAGCAGCAATACTTGCAGGAATACTCACTTGTTGATATGGATATTATGAACTCAGCTGCAATAGTGTGCTCATGGTCAAACTGCATATACTGGATGATTTCAAAACTGGGAGGACAATTAAAACAATATCCTTTAGTGGTGAGGTCCTGGTCATATTCAACATTGTTTTTAACACTTGTGGACAGGCTAATTTCATATACTGCATTATAAATGATTGAGTTTTAAGACTGGTGACCAGAATAGAGGGCCGAAAGTACTGGGCAGAATGGGAAAACAATTCAAAACAACATTACAAATTGAGAAGATCAACAAACACACAGTTCAGTAAATGAAGTGTAAACTGCTACATTTAGAAAAGAGAAACCAAAGGCACAGATTCTTAATGGGAGTATACCTGTTATGCAGCAGTTGGCGCAAAAAGACCTGAGGAATATCACTCAGCAAGGACTAACATGGTGACAGTGCTGGAAAAAAAAAGGTCAAATTTTATTCTAGTCGGCTGTAACAGAAGGATCATACCTAAGACACAGGCAATAATTGTTACAGCCTGAATTTGCAGGTCAGTCTTAACTGGAGAATGATGCTCTATGGAGACTGCAGAGAAATTTCATCTATCAGAGAGAAGATGCTTGATAATTTAGCAGTACTGGGTGAGGACTTTCTAGTCAGATAAAGTCCCTTCTAGATCTATACTTGTAGGCATCTTGGAATACGACATTCCAGCTTTCCATGTTCTTACTGATCCTCTGCCTGTGTTAATTCTTCTTGGATTAATTACATTGTCACCAAACATTCCAGTCTATGAAACAGGCAAAAATCTACCAAGTCTGACTTCCTTTTGTGATGCTTTCCCCCCAGTTAGAACCACATCAGATTTTTGATTTGCATTCTGCATTCTCACTGTCTGAATCCTATTGCAATTTCATGGCAGCTTTTGGGTTTTCAGACACTGATACTGCACAAGGACCTTCATTTGCAGTGAGTCTTTCCATGCACACTGGACTTTGAGAAGCAAATGTGAATAGCACACTTAGTTAAAAAGGCAAAATAGTTAATCTTATAAAACTGTTACCCTGGTATCATTTTTGGATGAGAGATTATGTAGGTAGTTATTACTGAATCTGGAAAGAATCTCTGCAAATACGGGGTGTTACTCTGCTCCCAGGGGAAAGACAAGCTCTATCTGTAATTCCTCAGATAATAATACTAATCACCACTACTCCATTGTACCGATTAGACTAAAATGAGCTGGAGAACACATAAACTAAGATAAACATTAGACATGTTCATGCTGATCCGATGGAAAACCAAAGCATGACCTATTTCAGCAGTTCATCCTTCCCTTTGTCATCCCAGGGCTATGGGTTCAGTCCTGGTATGCCCTAACAGTCTCACTCCAAAGGACAAGCTATTCAGCACAGTTACATCTTGTGAGCTTTTGCTCTCTTACAGATACTCTCTTGGCCTTTGCATTCAGTGGGGTAAGGAGGTGGGAGACAGGAGGATGGAAAGGGCAAGCTGCAATGTCAGAAAATTAAAGTACACGAGGAAACTTGGTGGATGAGTAACATTTTGAGGGAGTGAAAAGTAAGCAGAGGTGAAGAAAGTGATGTGAGAATCAAGTCAGAAAAACTTGTGAATCTATTTTCAAGGTAAGACATAATTGACTCACACAATAGCAGTGGCTTTTGAACTTTATTGCTGCTAGATCCTTACTAATTGTCAAAAAAAAAGAAAAGAAAAAGAAAAGTATCTTTTTTTTTGGCCTGGTCTTTATGTTACCTATGATTTCTGAAGTGATATATTCCCACTGAAGAGGATGCTTGCATTATATTTTTGTCTGTTTGCTTTAAAAAGGGCAAACAAACCCTATTAAAAAATGAACTTAATGAAAAATTATATTAACCCATGTCCCACCTCCTGTCCTTTTCCCAATCCATTTTCAAAAGCAGGGCTAAGTGAGTCTTCAGCTAAGGTGAATCTTCTCTTTATGTTGTACTGCAAATGTGCCTGATAACAGCATTGTCATGCAAGGCAGATTTTCCAGTAGATGAATTGAACAACTCAGAGTTTTCCCTGGGGACTATGTGAGCTGTGCCAGTCATACAACCTCCCTGTGGGTTCACCTGCTTACACTGAGACACTTGGTTGCTGAGCAGACAGCACTAGTACTGAGACTCCTGATATCTTCAGGGTACTTGGTTCCTCCAAGCCTCTCCAGAGAGACAGGGCTGCTCTGACCTCTCACCTCTGCAGCTTCTGAGCAGTGTGACAGGTGGTTGTGACAGCATCGAGCACCCTGCTCATGAGCAGAAACCAGGGTCCAAGGGTTAAAGAACCTGGAAGCACCTGTGTCCCAAGTGGCTCCCGTGACAGGTTGTTGGATTTCACGTGATAGTCTTGTCAGGTTGTGTCGTGGTTTCACCCCAGCCAGCAGCTGAGCACTGTGCAACCACTCACTCACTCCCCCACCAGTGGGATGGGGGAGAGAATTGGAAGGATAAAATCTAGAAAAACTCATGGGTCAAGATAAAGACAGTTTGATAGAGAAAGCAAAAGCTGCACACACAAGCAAAGCAAAACAAGGAATTAATTCACTGCTTCCCATGAGCAGGAGGTGTTCAGCCATCCCAGGACAGCAGGGCCCCATCACACATAATTGTTTCTTGCTGCTTGTCCAATTTTCAAACTGCACTGCATTGCTCACCAGCTAAAAATATTTCAGAGAATAGTCTTTATAGGACTTTCTTTGGTTTCATTTAACATTTTAAATGTGTTAGTTGTAGCCTAAATATGTTCCTATTCCTAGTATCAACTGCAGCAAAGACCCTATGACACTCTTGTCAGTCCCCAGTCCTGTAATGTCTAAAGGGGTTAACAGAGTACAGAGTTAATAAGTGACTTATACTTTCATCTCTGAGGGTATGCCCCACCCAAATTCCTGATGTGTTGCATAAAGCTTTTCTGCATTGTGGAAAGGCAGCCTCTATCTGTTTGTTTGGGAAGAATTACACCGGGATACAAGCATGAGCAGAAATAGTGAAAGAATCATTGAAGTAGTGGAAAAATGTTTTTCAGAGGGTGAAAAGACTGCTCCAGAACATCTGCTGTTTTCCTATGGAGGTATTTTATACCCTGTTACACTTAGCAGTCCAGAGACTTTGGACGCCCTGAAATCCTTTGAAATCAGGAGTGACGATGTGATTCTGGTAGGCTATCCTAAATCAGGTGAGTGTTGTTTTCTTGATCAGTAGTCAAGTACTGCATGCTGAAGTTTGAGTCATCATTTAACATAGCAGTAGTTCCTGATAAAAGCTTATGGTGACATCAGACTTCATAGGATCATGAATTTAAATTGCAAGGCATGTCTGCAGGTCAAATAATACAACTTCCTGCTCAAAGCAAGGGAAATACCTAACCTTCAAAGTTAGGTTTCATTGCTGAAAGCCTTGCCCAGAAAAGTTTTGCAACTTTGAAGGTGGAGACTCACTATCAACTAAAATCTTTTGCAGTGTTTTCCTACAATAGTAGGCTTGGCTGTTTGTTTGCTTGTTTTTTTTTGTTTTTACATCTATGCAGTCAGTCATCCCCTTGCTGTGATAGAGGCTCCATCTTCATTATAACCTCCAGTAGTGGAAGACTGCAGTGACAGTCACCCATGCCTTTTTTTGTTTTTAATCTCTGGCCTGAGCAAACCAAGCCTTTCTATACATTTAATTTTCTCCAGCTCCCAGTGATTTCATGGAAGTTCAACAAGACTCACTCCAGATTCTCAACACAATTTGTGCTTTTGTGCAGGGTCTGCACAGAGTATTCGAGCAGTGAAACTCACCAGTGCTGGGTAAAGCAGGATAATCACATCCCTTGATATTCTGATGTCGTGGTTTAACCTCAGCCAG